AGGCAGACTTACCGGCGGTGTTGGGGGCGAGGGTTGCGGCGCTGGGCCGGTTGGCTGTGCCGGTGGTGGTCCCTGTCGCGGTGGTGCCGGCCTTGTCCTGCACCGCCTTGACCGTCTTCACCTCCACCTCATTGGAGATGGCGCCCTTACCCGCGTGCATGTTGATCTTGCGCTCCTTTAGCATGAGATTCTGTAACAAAACAACCAATCCCACCAGCGGAAAACACGAAGCACACACACGCGCGTGCACACACAAAAACACACGCGGGTCAACCAGGTACCCCAAAGTACCCCCCGAACCTAATTAAATCCAACATAAACCAACCTAACTTGCCCAAGCTTGCTATGGTTTATCACGGTAACCTCAAGGCTGGCTCAATCAAAAGCAGAATATGCTCAGCAGTAGCAGCAGCAGCAGCGATGCAACTCCTGCAGCGCCGCCGTCGCGCAGTACCACAGGACGGCTGCCTACCTGCTTTGCCTTTATCTCCTCGGGCGTCACAATTTTAATCTTAAACATGAGGCCATCGCTGATGGCCACGTTCTTCTTGCCGTCTCCCCCCTCCGCACCCCCCGTGGTGTCCGCGTTCGCCGCCGCCTGCGCGTTTGCACTAATGGTCTGGTACAGCAGGTTCTTCTGGTTCTCATTGCCCGTGAAGGACATGCAACGTATCCACCACCTGGCGGGAGGGGAGGAGCGAGGGGGGTTGTGTATCAGGTAGCAGGACGAGGACGACGACGGGGACATGCAACTAGTCGGCAGGAGGAGGTGGTGTGTGAGGAGGTGGAGGAGGTGTGGGAACCAAAGGTGCAACTAGATTAGCAAAAGGCTCAGCTGTCTGGACATTCGAATACCGAAAGGTGACAGATGGTGACAGAAGTAAAGAACAAAGAGAACCGAAGCCGAACTCGAACATTAGAACCCGAAGACGAACACACTGCTATTCCGGAAAGAGGGAGAGAGAGGGGGAGGGAGGGAAAGACGAACCACTGACGAAGGAAGCAGAGATATTCCAGGGATAGACGGATACTCCGGGATTAGACACATACTGCAAAATGCTTAAGAAGTTGCTGACCAGGGAGGCAGGGGATCCTAAGCACATACGATCAGGGGCAGCAGCTCAGGGGAAGAAACTGTAATTGTAAATGAAACTCCTGAGCTAACCCATCGTCATCATCATCATCACCCACGGCCCCAGGCTCAAGCGCCAAACGCAACCAGCCTCCGCACCGCACTGCACACACACCCCCTTCGGGTGTCTACAGGATACACCCGTAGCCGCTGTCCTATCCTATCCACTTCCACGACCCCACACGGACCACCACCTCGCCAAACACCTCCGCCATAGCTCGGCCCCTCCTGGCCCGCTATCAGCCACGCGGGCCCCCCCTTCCCCCCCCTCACACACACCTCGGCGGGGACTTGTGGAACTCCCGCACCAGGTCCTCCCACGTGGATACGACCCCCAGATCCAGCTTGATGAGGCCGTGGTAGATACCGAACGCCGTCACTACGAACTGGTAGAACAGGGCCGTGTCGAACAGCGCCACGATGATGAAGGGGAACACGCGGGCGGCTACCAGAATCCAGTCCGCGCCGATGCAATGGATCCTGACGTGGCCGAAGCGGTAGGAGGAGCCCTTGCAACCCATCCAGTTGCGTTTCAGTAACAGCCGCAACTGAATGGCGGGGAAAGGGAAGGGCGGTAAGGGAGGGGAGGGGAGAGTGAAGGGGACCGGGGCCGTGGCGAGGAGAAGGGCAAGACATTCCACACCGGCGGTGAAGGGGGACGTCCTGGTGGGGTCAGGATTGGAAAGAGTGATAGCGAGGAAGAGAGATTAAGATGGATTGAGAATGGGCGGTGGGCAAGGAAGCGGGTGTGCACGAAACACCCCATCACCCCTCCCCTCAACCCATCAGAACATCGCACCCCCCTAGTCTCCTGGCGCACCCCCACGTTTTCCCCCCCCCCGCCTTCTCTTCATCTCATCCTCCTCTTCCTGCGTGTCCCCCTCCTCCTCTGCCTTATTCGCAATTTGCCGCGGCACCTCTGCCGCCGCCGCCCAACTCTTCCCGCCGGTGCCGCCGCCAGCCCTTCTTACCGGTTTGACCAGCGGCTGGTGGATGACAAAGTAGTCAAAGGGGATCTTCAAGGCGAACACCAGCAGCCAAAAGAACACGTTCACGAAGAAGTTCTTCCACTTGATGTGCATGTCGGCGTACATCCACGTGCGGGGCCGGGGTCGCGAGCTCCAGTTCTGAAAGTACTCCGGAAGGCCGAGTGCCTCAGACAGGCTGATCGCGTAGCTGTGTGTGTGGAGGGGGGGAGCGGGCGTGTATTTGTGTGAGTATGGTGTTGGTGTTTGTATGGAAGGGGAGGAGAGGTAATTTAAAAGGTGGGTTCTGAAGAGACACGGTACGGTACGCACATCGGCACGTGTGGCCCGAAAAGGGTTCACATGATATTAGCACTTTGATATGGGGGTTGGGTTGGGTGGGTGGGAAAGGGAGGGAAGACGAGCCACGTGAACGAGCGAAGCTGATGCCCAGGAGGATATGGACTGGTACGGCAGAAGCGTGTAAGATGTAACAAACCCCCAAGTCCGACTTGTGAAGGAAAAGTCTTCAATGGAGAAAGGGGGCGAGAGAGGGTTCTCGAGGAGCCCCGCGAGGGACTTCAGAATCGAGTGTCATGGCTCGGGAAGGTGGGGCAAATGCGAAGAAGGAAGTCCTGCAGAAGGTTTATTTTCTCAAACTGAGGACGTCGATGTGGGGCTTTGGGAAGAGGTGAGGGGCGAGACGTGTACTGGGAAAGGCAATGTGGGTCCCTCTTCCCTTTTTTTCCCCGCATCCCCCATCCCCCATATCCCGCCAATTCCCCCAACCCAACCCAGCCCCACCCCAACCCACCCCAACCCAAACCCCATGGCACTCACCCGTCCCTCGTCGTCAGAAGGAAGTGCAGCACGTGCAACCCCGTGTAGCCAGCCGCCACATAGCCCCAGTTGTCGTACGCGTACGGCCGCAGATCTATATTAATGAACTGCAGTGTGTACAGAGCAGTGAGTGAGATGGCGATGACCAACCACTCCGTCAGTCCGCCAAACAGTCCGTACATGGGGGCGCCTGAGGGGTATGAAAGAGGGGTGATGGGGGGGGGGGGGAATCGTACTGTGATGGGATGTAAGAAGGCGACACGCCCAAGGGAGGGAGGGAGGAGGGGGAGGGGGGAGGGGGGATGTGTTTCAAAGCGGAAGTCTTGGACGGCGCCGTTACTTCCAAACGCTGCCCGGTGTTTCGGAAACCATCGCCGTACACTCATTCGGCTATTGTAGTTCCATATGGATCCAGGGTTACAGGTACGGACCATATGTAATTCGTACGTTGTCGTACTTGAAACGTTAACGCGCGCACGCACGTGAATGGAGGAATAATAACCTTGCAGGAAACGAGAAGCGGCAACTCCTTGGGCAGCGGATATGGACATTTACATGACCCATGCAAAGATGAATAAAAAAAGCTGAAGAGTCAAATACGAAACCACCCATCCCACCAACTCCCATAACCACCAACCGCCCGCGCAACCGTACCCCCCCATCCCGTCCCCCTTTGCGCCTACTTCCACTTCTCCCCTCACCCACCCTCAATCTCCAATATCCTCTCCGGCTGCAAGGCCTTCAGCTGCCGGATAGACATCTGCTGCAGCTGTAAGTCAGGTGGGAGTTGGAGGGGGGAGGGAGGGGGGAGGCAGGGGCAAAGAGTAAGTGGGGCTGGTGTTGGAGGAGGTGATGCTAGGATTGAAGACTCAGTGGCGCACATCCACGAACCCACGGAATCTCACCACACCACTACACACACACCACCACACACACACACACCACCACACATCCCACACACCACCACACATCCCACACACACCACCACACACACACCACCACACACACCACCGCACACACACACCACCACACATCCCACACACACCACCACACACACACACACACCACCGCACATCCCACACACACCACCGCACATCCCACACATCCCACAAACACATCCCACACACACCACCACACACACACACGCACCACCACACACACACACCAACACACATCCCACACACACCACCACACACACACACGCACCACCACACACACACCAACACACATCCCACACACACACACCACCACACACACGCTCCACCACACACACACACATACACACCACCACACACACCCGCACACCCCCACCGGGCTGGCTATGTCATTGGCGCTCTGGGTCTGGTGCGCCTTCATCAACTTCAGCCTGTCGGCGTTGTTGTGCGCAGCCACGCCCCCCCGGTATCGCTGACTCTTCTGGCTCTGGGCCTGAAGGCCCAGGATCTGCAGCCGCAACACCACACGTGGGCCATAACACGAGGGCAATGGCGAGGAAGGGCAATGATGTGGGCCATGGCCAGGTAGAGGAACACGGCGAGACGTGAATATCAGCCAGAGCGAACAACCCGATGTCAATCCCACATCGATACACACGCGGGGTGCATACAATGCACAGTTCGCAGTTGGCGGTTGGTATTGACGGGAGAGGCTCCAAAAGAGGCAGCAGGAGAGCTGGAAACTGCCTTCGAGATCCAACGCCCGGGTACAACTCACCACACGGGGGGGGGGCGCATTAAAGCAAAAGCGTGGCGCTGCTAAGCGGCCAGCCGCCGTCGGCCGCCATGTGACACGACCAGGCACCAGGTACGTACTCACTCACGCACCCACTCACTCACTTGCGTGTGAGCAGTGAGGAGAGCAACGCGGCACGGCACGGCACGGCTGGGCAGCCCTGACCCATCATGCCCCCTTCCCTCCTTGTTCATTGGGCCGCTTCGCTGTCACAGAAAGCAACCTCCGGTCCGGCAACCTCCGGCCCGGGAACCGTTAACCCAACCCTCACACAGCCCCATCCCCCAACCCGCCAAAACACCCGCAACAACACGCAGCCCCCCCACCCCCGCCCGCACACACACACCATCACGGCCCCACACAGCCCCACCTGGTCCAGCTTGTAGAACCCCTTCCTGTCGAATATCTTGGTCATTGTGGTCTGCAGAGGCTCCGGGGAGGGCATGGTCATCATCCAGTTGGCCACACGCTCCAGCCACTTGAGCCAGGCGTGAGTCAAAATGGCGCTGCTCACCACTCGCCAGTTCCATCCCGCAAACGCCTGGCCGCAGAGGACAGAGGGAATGCGGGTGGGGGGTGGGCGAGGACAGAGGGAATGCGGGTGGGGGGTGGGCGAGGACAGAGGGAATGGGGGTGGGGGATGGGCGAGGAAGTGGCCAGCGGGCAGTCAGGGGTAGTGGGGGCCAGGGTAATTCCAAGGAGAGGTCCAGTGGGAAACCAGACACTGAGAGGACAGCGCGGGGGCCTGTGTGTATAACCGCCTAGCGTGTGCCTGTGCTAGCTAGGGGCCCGGCCGTAGGCGACCCCCCCCCCGCCCCGCCCGCACCTGCGCCTGCATGAGGTGGAACAGTACGAAGTGGAAGGCGTACACTCGGTAGAAGGCCCGGTATATCCCCAGCCAGGAGCGCCTTTCCCGGTACGTCTTCACAAACACCCGGAGGCGCCACCACTCCGCAGCCACCTGTACGGCAACAATGTACGACTCAAGGAGTACAACATTTTGGACGTGTCGGAAGTGTCGAAAGTTAATTCTTTGGCGTTTTCCAATCATGTATATCATATATCACATGACCGACCGCCCTTCTCACCCCCGAGAAACCCTCCCGCCGGCCGCGCACGTACACACGGGTCCTTGGCTGCCCAGCCAGCGGAGTGAGAATTACAACTTTTATAGGTGCGGTGCCGTACTTGAAGGTGTCGTACTATTAGGTGCCGTACTATCAGACCCGTACCTACCTGCGGGTCGAACTTGTTGTTGATGACGGTGCGGCCCTGGAAGCCCAGACTTGTGAGTGACTGGTAGGCGTCGTTGGTGGCCCCCGCGGCGATATCCTGCGGGGTGACCCGCAGCTCCAGAAGCGCCGAATACACGACGTCGCGGCAGGTGAGCGACTCGTTGAAGTCGTCATAGCCCAGCCTGGATAAGATAAGAGTGTCGTTGGTGCCGGGGTTGGGGTTGGCGTTATGGGCGATATGGAACGAAAAACACAAGTGGCGACACGGTATGACTTAAAGACATACGTACATACCCACAGTAGAAGACATACGCGATTGCGGTTGGTTGTATTCTTGGTTTTATAAAATAGAATAATCTTCTTATGCCTGTGACACTCCTACCACATACACACATACCACATCCACACACACATACGTGAAGCCCTTGTTACTCGGCGGGGTTTTCCTCCTTTTCCCCGGGGACTTGACTTTGCGTACGTGCCCTGCCGGGGCCTTTGCTTTGCTTCACCCTGGGTTGAACCCAACTTACCCAACAAACCCAACTAACCCAACAAACCTAGCTGGGTCTCCAGTATTGCCGCAGGTTAGATACACACCAAGCGGGCGGGGGATAAGCCCAGTGCCAGCTGCCCTGCCCCTCATCCACACACCTAGCCACCCTCACCCTCGGCCGCTTCAGCTCCGCATCACCCACCGCCGTTGCTACGGCCCCCCCACCTGTGCGCCGTGTCCACCCCCAGGGTGGACAGGTGGTCAATCTCGTAGCTCATGACGAAGAATATGGGGGTGATGATGCGGTCCATGAAGAAGCCCCCGTCTCCGTAGCACACCAGGTCAGCCAGCAGCTCCCGGTCCGACAAGGGCACATCGGAGGTGGTCGACAGACGCGACAAAATGCTGCTCATCTTGCCGCAGTCCTCGGGGCGCATGTCCTGTGTGTGTGTGGTGTGGCGGTGTTGGTGTTGGCGTTGGTGTATGCGGGGGCGGGGGAAGGGAGGTAAGGGTAAAAAGAGAGGGTGGGGAGAGGAAGTAGTTCCTGCAAGGAGCGAATGGGAGGGATATGAAGAGGCGCACGGTGCCCCCTGCGGGTCGCGAGCTGACATGATGACATGTGTGTGTGCGTGTGAGGGCAGCTGCGTCCGGCCGGGAGCCCACCCCCACCCCCACCCCCACCACCGCCGTCGTTTGGCACTGTGTTTGGGCTGTGTTTTATCCCTTGTTTCAGTACCCACCCAAGCTCCCCGAACACCCTCCCTCCCAACCTCCCACCCAGCCAACCAGCCAATCAACCAAGGCATGCACTCGAGAGGCGCGCTGTGCTGTAAGGTTAGTGGCAGGAATCATACGTACAAGGATCAGTCTCATAAACAACATATACACACAGGTACACGTACACGCACCGCAGGTCTGATGCTGATCTGGACCTGCAGGTCCTTGATCAGGTGCTGGAAGGTGTTCCTCAGCTGGGGCAACCGGTCCCGACTGTTGGGCACTCGGTCGGGCGACCCGCGGTTCCACAGATCCGCCATCACATACGAGTGGTTCATGCACCAAAAGATCATCCACATGGCCTCGGGACAGAACCGCACGTTGGCAGCCTCCTGCAAGTTATGCCGTACCGCAGTACAAGTATGAATGGTTGTACTAACGAACAACGACAAATCGCAGCATTCGCAGCGCAGAGGCGAGGAAACTGAATACGGTCAAAAGGGGCAACGACGCTCAAAATCCGTCCCACGGTAGCCCGTTGCCAAGTAACCTTTGGCGGTGGATATGGGAGCACTTGCGCGCACATGCTCTCGACGGCTCGTGCTCTCCCAGCTCCCCTCTTACCTGCAGCTGAACCGAATCCCAAATCCCAAATCCAAATCCAAATCCAAATCCAGTAACAAGCTTAAAAACATCACGGCATTAATCCATCACACCGCACCGGTGTCAGGTAATAAAAATCCTACGTTCGAGTCCCCACTGCTAAAACGAATGCGATCCATTGATTTCCCAGCCCCCATTACCCAATCGAGCTGGTTGCTCCCCCTACCGTGTAGATGAGGAAGTACAGCGCCAGTTCGCACAGCAGGCCGTTGATGACGTGGTGGTCGGAGAAGACCCGCTCGCGGAGCTCGTCAGTGAAGCGCTGGGCCCGGGGCGACAGCCGCTGCATCTTGATCCATTGCATCTGCGTGTGTGGGGGGGGGGGAGGGGGAGGGGGAGGGGGAGGGAGAGCGGGAGTGTAGCGGGGCAGCGGCCGGCGGCCGGATGGGACAACCAGTGGGGGGGAGGCGTGTGAACGTGTACGGGTGTATGTACGGGTGTATGTACGGGTGTATGTGCGCGTGTACGTGCGCGTGTGCTTTGGTGGCGATGGATGGAATCGGATGGGGTAAGGTTTGGATGGAAGTGAAGCGCAAACCCGGTGGGGTTGAGGTGGGGTGGGGGCCCACGGAAAGGCTCACGGAGTCAAAAAAGCCCCACTACGCCCGGTAGCCCACGGGCTGATCACGGGGGGCTGCACTCGCAGTCGCAGTCGCAGGGGCTGCGGTCGAAAGCGCCCTCGCGAAACGCACGGTTGCTACACGTCTCACCGGGGACATCAACTCACGTATGGCACCCACGGAAACGAAACGGCCTAGGGTCACGTGTGTGTCTTGACCATATTATAAAGAGATCGAGCCAATGCTTAATTCGACAGATGCGCCGTACATGAGCTCGCAGTCCAGCCTAAACCGGCCTCGGGCTGCGTACTTGTGTTGCACATCGCACGCATCCTCTCCTATCGCACCGAGGGTCGCCCTTCTAGAGGTCCGTGCGCGCTTCCATCACCGAGGCCCTAATGCGCAACGCCGCACGTACCTCGTAGCTGTAAAAGATGGTGGAATGGAACTCGAACAGCGCCTTGGCGAACCGCTCCTCGTCCGAGTCGTCGCCCCGGTGGCGCCTCACGTATCCATTCTTCACCAACAGCTGGTTCAGATGGTCAGCTGCCACAAAGATGGAGGCAGGGACGTACTCATGCTTGGCGTCGTCTTGAGTGGCGGGTCGCATGTTGAACGCCTGGGGGAGGGGCAGGACGGCGGCGGGACCCGGCGGTGGCGGCCACACGAGGGGGGGGCCGCCGGTCGCGGCGGGTTGGAAGCGACTTGGTGGCAACTTGGCAAAGGCTTTACGGCGTAGAAGAGAATAAAAAGAAGAGAGCATATGAGCAAGGAAATGGAGATGGCTGGATGGTCGTCAAGGTCTCGACATAAGGCCATTGTACATAGCAACAGCAGCAGGCGAGCCGCTGGCGCGAGAGAAGCACTCCAGCAGCTTGCAGCTGCAATCACATGTACTCAGCACCGGACTTCCTCTGACATCACATTTCCTCCTCCTCCTCCTCCTCCTCTTCACCATCATCCAACCACCATCATTATACACAGCAGCAACCGCGGGGCCCTCTCCTACAACGACCCCAACAACATCATCATCATCATCATCACCATCATCATCATCAGTACCCAGCTTGCTGACCGAGGACCCACCTGGAATCCAAACACTCGACCCACACGCCACACCGTCGCGAACACCAGGTTGTCCCAGTGCCCCGTCGTGATGATCGGCAGCTTGATGGTGCTGCGCGCCTTCACGGTCGCGGAGGCCGTCCTAGACACATCGGGCGGCCCCGCAGCCTGGCCGCCGCTGGCTTCAGAGGCCGCCGCCGCCGTCGTCGGCGGCACCAGCGACGCGGCCACGGAAGTCGCCGCCACAGTCGCAACACTGCCGCCAAAGCTACCGACTGCCGTATCCGCCGCCGTACTCGCTGCCGCCGCTACGGCAGCGGACTTCACGGAAAGCGCCCGTAGCGCCTCCAAACGCCGCTGGCTTGACTCCGTCATCGTCACACCCACCGGGGCCGTCGCCGCCACGGCCTTACTGCCGGCTACTGCCGCAAGGCTCCTGTCCGTAGCGCTCTTGGCCAGCAGGCCCCCTTGGCGAGGCAGCGGCGGCGGCAGGGACTCACCAGGCGGCAACAGCTCCGAGGGCGACAGCAGCGTACCCTCCAAATCGTGCACCTTGGCATCCAGCTGACCCGCGGCCGCGGAGATGTGTAGGCGACCCGGCACGACCGCGCTATCCGGCCGGCCGTGTAAAGAAGCGAGGTCCATGCCCGTAGCCATGAACGGGGTCACAGCTGCGGCGCCATCCCGCTGCTCGCGATAGCTGCTGCCCCTTGCAACTTTGCCACCGGCGCCGCCGCCAGGTTCGCCGTCGCTGTCGGAGTCGTCCTCCTCCGCAGCAAACCCTAGACGGAGTTGCTTACTGGTGCCCTCCTTCTTCAAGGCGCTGTGCACTGCCGCGCTACGCTGTGCAATTGCACTGGGCGAGGAGCCGGTGCTCTCCTCATCGTCACGGCTGCGGCTGCCCTCAATCAAGGCCCCTAGTCCTAGCGCATTCGCCACACGCTCCCGGAAGCTCTGGCCGCGGGTGGCTGCGGATCGGGTGCGATGGAGAGACGACGGCGACGCGCCGGTGCTGCTGTGTTGGCTGCCAACGTTTTCCGAGATGAAGCGTAGCCGCCGATTGGAGCCTTTGCGTCCGCCGGGTTCGGTGCCGTCGCTGAGCGCGCCGCTGCGCTCTGACTCCAGCGCCGTCTCTGCTGCACCGGCGGCGGTGGCAGCAGCCTCCGCGTCTGCCTCGTGCACTGCCCGGGTCGCAGCTGCTTCGACGCGGGACGCAAGCGAGGGGGGATCATCGGCGCCGCTGCTGGATGGCAGCGCATCTGGGTTGCCAGGAGTGCGTTGAAGCGTCCCTGGCGGCTCTGTGGCTGCTGCACCGTCGGCGGGGCTCTCGCTGTCGGGTAACAAAGACGCCGGCGCGCGGAACGACAGGAGCGGCGTGGTGGCGGTCCTTCCCGTTTTTTCGGGACGGCCCGAGTCAGATGTGCGCGGCGTGTTGTTATCGTCCTCTGGTTGCAGTCGGCCAGCAAAGGCTGCGGATGGGCCATGCGGTCGATGGAACCGAATTTTTCAAAGAACGCTACCGGCAGCTTTGGACCCAACGTAACGAAACTGGGCAAACATTTATAGTATAGAAAGAAATCATACAAAAAACAATGCATACCATCATCACCGCGTGGTATTCGCGACTTCAAAAGAAGTTTAAAACGAAACCCAAATACTGTTGGAATGTGATCGACACGCGAATACAAGTGGAATGGGAGACCAGTATCAGGACTCGAAGGTGTCCGGCTTTATAATAGGTTATGACCCCGTTAGGCGCTGGGCGCTGCGCCAAGCGGTCGCTGGTTCAACTTCCCCTGGCTATAGTCCAGGGTCGAAAAGCCCGGATGAGACAGCCGAGGGAGCCCTGAGCAAATGGCTTCGCTCACGGGTATGTGGTGAAGAATGGTAGTCACTCATGCACAAGTGGAAAGGGAGTCCTATAACAGGACCTAAGCGGGGGTTCCGGCGCTTTGCTGATATTAACAAAACCTCTCAACTCTCCATACAACAGTTTATCGAAAGCACTCACATTTAGTAATGCTGCGCCAAAGGGACTGTGAAGGGGCTGCGGCAGCGGTGACAACTTCAGCCAGTTCTTTGGAGCTCCCGTGCTCGGCTCCGTGGGAGATTGCGCCAACAGCCGAGCGCCAGCCCAGGCGCGCTGCGGGAGCTTCTGTCTGTGTGCCTTCTCCGGGCTCTTCATCGGCCATAAGGTGGCGCGCAAGAAAGCTCTTGCTCAGCAGAGACGATGGGGAGGTTTCCTGCGGCGCGGGAGCGCTCACCTCGGAGCGGCTCACCTCCTGTGCGTTCGCGGCCGCTGGGTCTGCCTGCGGCGCTGGTGCTGCTACTGGTGTTGGCTGTGATTGCGCCGACAGCGCCCCTGGAGCAGACTCCCGGAGTCGATGAGGCTGCGAAAGGGCGCCTAGATGAGGCGCGAGTTGGCGCGCGGAGGTTGTGATGCCGCTGGCGGTCAGGCGTCCCGCCACAATGCTGGGGCCTGCCGTGCCGGGCTGATCGAGCTCCGCACCTGATGCGGCGCGCCTCGGAGCGGGCGGCGATGTGCCAGTTGCCTTTGGGAACAGGCGGGTTACGAGTTAAGATGTTTCCGCATGTGAACGGCAAAGCACGGAGAGCGGGGAAGAGGAGGAGGACCGGATAAAGCGCGATCGACGCACCTGGTTAGTTGTTGGGGTTTCCGCAGCGCCAGCCTCCGAGGCTTTCCATGCCTTACTGTGCGCAAGTACCGACGAACGCCAGGCCCCGGCCACGCGGCCCGGTGCCTCGCCATCATCCGTTGGCGCTTCTATGGCAGAATTGTCGGCGTCGTTCACCTCTTCTAATTTTAAAAAGCTTTCGCGCCAGCTTCTCGTGCTGGCTTTTTTGATGGCTGGCGCACCCTCCCCCGGCGCCTCCTCGCCAGCCGAAGGAAGCCATCCGGCAGCTCCAGGCTCTGAGCTCATTTACACAAGCATCTGAGGCTGCCCCTGGTAACCTATAAGACCCGTCTGGTGCGGCATGCGTCGCATGGACGAAAACGTTTCCGCGCACTGTACATCGCGATGGCCTTTAGCGCAGGTCCTAAAGGCAAAGTAAGGATATCCATGTAACGCTTATGGGCAGGTGCACCGCTGAAACCCGGTTCTGGGCCAAGCCTGTTAACGGACGGAGAGTTGAAGAGCACACAAGGTGGAAAACCTGCTAAGTTTCTCACTTTAGGATCCTCGTTTCAACATGCTATGTACGATTAAGCAGGTTCTCAGGCCAGAGGCGCTCAATCATAATTCTTAGGGTGTCGGCCATGTACAACTGGCGTGGCCAAACAATAACCTACGTCCAAATCGGTTTGGAACCTATGGTTACATAACAACTTTCTATAACTTATGGAATTATACATATTTCTTCTTCCGATTTCGGATGGCATTCCTAATTGTACGGCATCTTCGCGATGTTGCGTGTGGAAACCTGCTTGCTTCCCAACTCTTATCACATTATTACTTAGTGGTGTTGTTTTAAAAGTAAAGAATGTCCACCTCTATTATCAGTCTACGCCCAGAACAAAAGAACTTGACGCTTACCGTCAAGGTATGGCACCACATTACCTAGCCACAGAGAATTATGTCCTTGTATCAACTTGTTGTAACCTCTATACAGGTCGTCGATGCTACAACTGTGATGAGCCGGCAACGAGGGCCCAAAGCGCCCGCTGTGAAAGTAGCAGAATGCCTTGTGGCTGACAGCACAGGAGTCATCGTATTTGTGGCGCGAAATGAGCAAGGTGTGTGCAGCAAATTCAGAAGGGTGGGGTTCACCCGTTGCACAGCTGTGTGACCGAACCTAATGATTTGCAGTGGACGTGGCACAAAAGGGAGCAACGATCACCTTGAAAGGAGCAAAAGTGGACATGTTCCGTGGATCAATGCGGCTCTCTGTGGAGGGCGGGCAGGTGGAGGCCGGAGGTGATCTACAAGGGCCAGTTAACGTAAGTGGCCCAATTGGTCAATCCTATTTATGTTCATGATAATTATTTTGCGTAGATCTCTTTGGGCCGTCTTCTTTTTATGCAAAGCCTTTCGTGATTGTTTTTCGTATGTGCCACTGACCCACGTTCTCCTCGTCGTTATGTTGTTGCCTACAGACGTCAAATAACATGTCCCTTCTGGAGTTTGAGCTCGTCACCGTTGGGGCTTAGGCGGAGGTGGAAGGTCCGAGTAGCAAGCCTGTGGTTCGAGCTTGAGGGTAGCCATCCTGTGAGGGAGCATCAGCGTATGCAACTGATGCAGTGTCCTGATGGTGACTGGGAAGGTTGCTGGGGTGACCGCTTGGATCGTAACCACCCCAGGAACAAGCCCCTGACCCGAGGAACAAGGCGCGTGTTCCGAGCACTAGTATGGGAGTGAGGGAACGAGTGGCAAGTACTAGACCTTGCGTACTCGTCACGTTTAGAATAAGGGCGATGCCGTGGGATAATCTGTATGGAAAGAGTATCCCGTCTGAACTACGACTGGATTGCACTTGAGAGGTTACGGCAGCAATCCTCTGACTGCTGTTTTGCCATGAGAGCTTCCGTTTTGCATTTGGCGCGGTCTGCCAGCTGCGGAGAGTTCGTCTTGGAAACCATGAAGTAGTTTTCGTTACCAAGGAGGCTTTTGATGGGACTCCTGTCCCGCCCTGCAAAGGGAGCTGAAGATGCACTGCTATGAAGTTGGTTGCCGCATCGACCAACATAATGCCCTTCATGCCTTAAGCATATCAGGACACAGTTGTTAGTGGAGGTCTCCGTGGGTCGTTTGACGGATTTGATTGGCTCTTTCCGAGGCCACCGAAATGACAATGCTGTATCGGTTTTGACGGTGTTAAACCAGTGGCGGAATATGCCTCTTCTAATCTTGTATCATTTCTGTTTCGGAAACTTCCCTCTGATAATGCGATGGCTGCATGCTTAATGTACAGCAGGTCTTTGCACAGTAAATCCGATCAGCAGTTTGGCAAGGGGCATTGTCCCAGGTTCCAGGTGCGTCCCAGGTTCCACCTGCTTACATCCAAAACTCCTCTGGAATACGCATGCCACATTTTGGACAGCTTGCCGCAAAAAGCCGCAGCATGCCTCCTTGTGGACGGGGAGGCTAAATTTGCATACAGGGGTCGAGGGCTCCTCAAAGAAAGCCATTCAGTGTGAAAGTCCTCTCTAACCGCACCCTTCCTCCTCGACCCAGGACCCATCAGCCCTCGGGCAAAACGCAAGATTTTTCGGCACGCATCCGCGCTCTCCAATGCCACGATTGCTTTTTTTATGCAGCGCCCGCGGACCTACACACCCAGACATGGCGGAGTCATGTGGCCTGAGGCAAGGCGACGCTGTTGATCCTGCCTGCCCCCACACTCGTGCCATCTGCACTACGGGAGTGCGAAACATGGGCAAAGTCGCAGCCGCTGAGTTATCCAAGCCTAGCCAAGTCGCCGCAGGTCCCACAGGGGTCACACTCTGAGGATCTGGGTCTTGTTGGCGAAGCATATGGCCACCCAGTCGGGCTGCGCGGAGCTCCACTGCAGCTGGTTCACCTGCAAGGAAAAGGCAGCCCAAAACATCAGGATAGAAGGGCGGACAGACAGACAGACAGGGTTACGGAAGGGGGCAGATCGTGTTGGTGGGACAGACAACGCCGGCAGCAGGACGGCAGCATCATCAGCTGCATGCGTCCCCCAGCGGCCGATTGGGGAGAAAGGCGGTTCAGCTTTTTTCTCTGCATGAGCGTCCCACATCCCCGGACTGCAATGCAGGGCAATGGTGGTAGCCCACACGTGTATTCGCGCCGAGGCTCGACGCAGCTTTCTGTGGGTGGTGCAACAGAGCTGCGCTGCACCACACTGTTCATTCACATCATGCAGAGCGCGCTACCTGGCCTGCACTCCTCCAAAGAATCCAATCACTGTGGATGAAACCCCGCCAAAGAAAATGCGACCCAAGCCCTCATTAACCGGGGAAGATAGCTGGATGTGTTCCACGGCGCCCCACGACACCGCTGTCGCCCACCTGCCGAACCGACCACCACCTGGTACCCACATCGGAACCAGCTACTACCCAGTACCAGCTGATTCATTCCGAACTCCAGAACCCTTCCGCACAGTCTGTTCATTAGCTCCATCCTCCTGACCACCCACTTCTAGTTTCATCCCCTCTGCTCTGCCGTACCTCGCTCTGTGCGCCGTACGCCAGGATGGGATCCAGGGACACATCCCCCGCGGTTCCCCCCCCTAACGCCCCCGGCTGACCACCGCCACTGCCCACAGCTGAGACGTCCCAGATGAGCGCCTGCGAGCGAGACGGGGAGGGGGACGGGGAGGGGAACTGGGAATCATATGCAAGAAACCGCGAGGATGCGTGCCGAGGGATCGACCGCCTCGACGAGCACCCGGGGCAGTACAGTACAGCGTGCAGCAGCACATACGGGGATAACACACACGCACACACACACACACACACACCGGCAAAACGCCAACTCGGGCCATATGTCACCTGCAAATGTAGCATCAACAGCAAATAATATCGGCCCTTCCGTGTTCCCATCCGTGGCGCCATCCTTCCCTGCACCGACCCACGGGTCCCGCCCCCCTCCTCCCAACCTGCGAGTCGTCCCCCGCGGTACATATGTGTTGTGCTGAGTGGGGCGCCCAGGCCAGTGCGTTGACGGGTGCCTGGTGGCGGTGCAGCTCCGCCACCGGCAACGTGGGGTACCGGATATCCAGAATTACCACCTGGGGGTGGGGGGTGGGGGGTAAGGGGTTCACACGCACACACACACACGGGGGTGGGGAAATGAGGGGGGAGGGAATTCCTACGTGCAAGGCACCCGGGAACGTACGGGACAGAGGGAATATACACGTCCAGGCAGCAAAGCAACGATGGGGCGTTGCGCCGGACAGCAGGAGGGGGGGTTACCAAATACGCGCGTACGATCACAAATCACAACACTACACAACACCCCCATACAGGTGCAGAAAGCGTATACGTAATATATGGAATGTTTTGGTACTTGGGACGCGCGCTGCTGCTGCTGCTGCAGGCTTTCCTCCGGCCTCTCCTCCCGGCTTTGCTGCCGCACTGGGGATGCTAATTTCCAGTAAGTTTTGCTCGTTGCATGCCCTCCATGCTCCCCCTTAGGGCCCCCTCCCCCTCTCCCTTCCCCTCACCTTGGGTGAGTCCATGAGTATGGTGGCCATGTACCTGGGGTCCTGCCGGTTCCAGCCCAGTCTCAGCAGCGGCGTGTCGGGCTGGGGGCTTTCGTAGATGATGGTGCTGTGCTCCTTGTCACTAGGGAGCGGGGAGGAGGGGCAGCAAAGGCGGGGCGTAGAGCGGAACAGAGCGAAAGGGTGAAGCGAAATCTAATGATACAAGGAGGAGCCAGCTCAGGAAAATCAACTGTCGAAACGTTCAATAAGGGGGTAGGAGCCGGACAGCGGAGGGCGGGAAATTTGAATTTGAAGTAGGGCGGGAGGCGAGGGCCGCGCCACATCAGGCTGATGGTCAACGAGTCCCGGCCAGTCAACGGGGAGAGGTCCGGTCCCAGGGAGACACCGTGTCCTGAAACCCACGGCGCCCATGGCGCCTCTCACCACACTGCCCAAACCTCACATAGACACATAGACACATAGACACATGCACACATGCACACATAGACACATACATACATACATACATACATACATAGACACATACATACATACATACATACATACATACATACATACATACATACATACATACATACATACATACAAAGCCAATCCAAACCCAATCCAAACCCACCGCAAATCGAACACGCGCACGGAGCCGTCTGCCGACACGGTTGCAAATACCCCCAGTCCTCCCCAGGCGATGTCGTACACCTCCCGGTCATGTGCAATCAGCTGCGTGTCCACCTCCCCTTTCTTTACGCGATCAATGTGGTTGTGTGTATGGGGGCGGAGAGGCGAAGAGAGAGGAGGGGGAACGGGATCTAGGTGATGTGTAAGGAAGAAGGCCAGAGGGGTGCAGAGGGTCGAAAAGGGAGGAAACATAAGCCCACAACACCGGCACACATCTCACATAAAAAAACACATCAGCCCCACGAAACCCACCGCTCAGCACACCCTTCCCTCCCTTCTCTCTCCCAACACGCCACAGCTCCCCAGCTCAAACCCCGATCCCCCGAAACCCCTATACCCATGTCCCGCGCAAATCCAACGGTCCCAAACCCCGGGATCAGCGGGTTTCCCCTCCCACCTTCCCCTCCCCCCAACCCCCACAGCCCCCCAGAGGGCCCCCCCACCCTCACGCTCCACACACCTCGATGTCCCAGATCGTGCAGGTGGTATCGATGGAGGAGGTTCCCAGCCGCTTGGGGTCCGCTTCGTTCCAGTCGAAGGAGGTCAGCGGAGCGGAGAACTCGGACTGCTTGTTCTGAACAACACCAACACCAACACCAACACCAGCACCAGCACCAGCACAGGAAGGGGCACATCAATGTTAGTCAAGTCGGTCACCTGGGGCCACCTCAGTTACGTGATGATGCCAAAGTCAAAGAACGGGCCCTACCACAGGGGATAGGGCAACAAGTCTGCGCCCGTGTCGATAGGAATAAAAAGTAAATTGAAGGTTCATCTGCAGTGATAAGCTCTGAGGAATATCGGATATCAGTTGCCGCTGAAGGGTGGCCGGTTTCAATGAGCCGTGGGCGGGGGGGAAGGGGGGAGCAGGAGCCGGACCCGGGGGCACCCGGGGGTGGGGCAGAAGGGCTGTGACCAGTTGCTTGGCGGTATGGTAATTTCCTGGTTCGGTAATGGATAATAATGGTGTACGTGCAATAGCAAGTTCTGCTAGCGTAAAAGCAAAATCCAGGAATATTCAAGATATTAAGTATATTAGCTAATGATACGAACCTATCTCAGGGGTCCCCCGCCCCAAACGCAGCCAAACGCACGGCGGCCCCCCTCCCCAAAACCAAACTCACGTTATTCAGCAGAGCTCGTAGCTGCACACCCCGCCCAACACCCGTCGCTCCTCCTCCCCCTGCCCCCGCCGCCGCCACGTCCTCCCCGTCCCCCGCAACTGAATCCGGATCCAGAACTCTCCAGATCCGAAGCGCCTCCCCCGTGGTCGCTAGCAGGTCGGGTCTGCAGCCCTCTCTGTCGGGAAGCCACATGAGCTTGGTGGCGGGGTAGTCGTGGTGGAAGCGCAGGGAGGGGTCGGAGCGCAGCTCAGCAGCATCGTCATCCACTGCGTGTGTGTGAGTGTGTGTGTGGGGGGGGAGGGGAAGGGGAGAGTGGGTTGGAGAGTGGGCGGAGGGAAGCCGCACTTCCCATGCGCAACACCCAAAGCACACCCACGCCCACCATCATCATCACCATTACCATTACCATTACCATTACCATTACCATTACCACCACCACAACAACAACAGTATCAACAACGACACTTAGCAAAAGGGGCAACCTTATGTGGCACCCTAGAGACGGGACCCCATCACCGACGTAGCTGCCGTACTCACGGCTGATGATTTCCACGTAGTTGGTTACATCTTCGCGGAACGAACCAACCGCCAACCGAAAGCGCCGGTCACGGCGGACCTGTCGGCGGGGAGAGAAAAGCCATGGGGGCTGGAGTGACTGGGCCGGGCCGACACGGTGTGCGTGTGTATTTCGTTGTGGAAAGGGGGTTAAGAGGGGCCCGCTCACCGACGTCCCTACTGCTCCCTTACATCTAAGGCGGCGGCATGGGGGTGTCGAGAGCTCAACGCAAGCTCCAAGCAGCATTTAAACTATGGCATGGACAGGGGCTACGCACTGCCACCCGTTGTGCCGTCCTCCCCGCCCTCACACCACCCTCCCCCACAGCCCGGGAATGCAAAGTGAGCTAGCGGTGGTTGTCAGCCCCATGACCCCAGTACCATCCCGTCAGGCGATACGTTACGACCCTTAAGTGCGAGTGACTATGAGTGGCTCGAGTTGCGAAGAGGGAGAAAAAACACCAAAGTCCGACACTTACGCTCCAGTTCATCGCATAGACGGGGTCCTGGGCCACATAGGTATAAATCTCCGCACGCTTGTCGCTGTTGCTCATGGTGGCGAAGTGGGGTAATGTCCCGGTCCGGCGCGAACCGAGCCTGCGGTCTCTTCGTCCAGCAAGTATCTTAAACAACACAATTCACTACGAGCGCCTCAGGGACAGCATAAGCGCTCCAATAACTTTCGAGCCCATTGCTGGCAAACTGTCTGTCCACGATAGGACCTCACGACATAGCGTTACGTCTTCTATTCTAAAACCTGTGCAGCTGTAAGTGAATGGCTAATGTGGTGCTGAAGTGTGGAGCACTGCCGAAAAATCCTTCGCCACAACCGTTACGGCTGCAGCCTTTGCAAATATCCTTACAGGCTTATGATAAATCCGATGTTTTAATTTAGCTCTATCTTATCTTGTGCATTAGATCACATCATGTCCCTCATGAAATGGGGATTGCTTCATGGCCGTGGCGAGTTTTGACGTTAAAATTGATACTCGTACATTAACAAGACAATCCAAAGGGCAAAAGGGAGCACGGCGACTCTCTCAAGCGCTCGATTGCTTCCATGACAGGACGCACGAATTGTCGTACTGCCTTACAACGGTGTCGCCTCGTGACATGAACGCCTGAAAGTGGTCATTCTGAGGCATGCAGCTCTGCAATTCTGTAATCCGGCACTGTAATTGATCAGCTTCAAGCAACGGGCGTGCTGTTGCGGGGTGACTAAGTCATGATGGTGTCAGGTAGTTACCGTTGTTGCCTTGCAAGTGCTGTAAAGGCTCGCAGCAAGATTGCTACCTCGCACATTCGCAATTTGGCAATTGACATCCTAATTACATAAGACGGTAGGCGCCTGGTAGGCTGTAAACGAATTTAACGATACTTGGCTGACCAGTTATGGACGGGTAAACGGTTGACCTGCTTCGAAACCATTTCAGATCTAAACATAGCTATGTCAGGGTTCAACATACCTAATAGCCAATGCGTATAGATACTATATTGACCTGCTAAACGCTAACAGATACGGCCGCAAGGTGGACAAACCTGTACGGCAGCAGTCACAGTTGTTGGTGTGGTAGACTTACATTTGCAGCAGTCTCTGGCATGAACAGTTCGCTGCAAACATCTTTGTAGATATTGACTATTCTATTGGCTTGCTCTGCACGTTGATCCCAGTCCAACTAGGAATGGAAGACACTTCTAAAGGAGCATTTCCCATTCTTCCATCAGCCATCCAAATTTTCACCATTCTTGGAGCCCTTTATCCACATTTAGACATCGTCGATGACCGTGTCATCATCCAAACGGGTCGCCCGCAACTCGAGCAAAGCTTGCATGCCTTGGTGCGTGGTTTCCGCAAATCCGCCGCCGTGCGATCCATTACATTCATGCAATTGGAGACGTGGATTTTGGCATTGCTTCGCAATAATATATTACCCACGTGTCCATTGTGCCCTGAATCCGGCCTGCGGACACGCCCCATACAAGTTACGAACCTAAAACAGGGCACGGCCGGGACCCATGGACGCTTACATCGCAAGGCAGACCATCCAAGAACCCTCTTCACATCCAGGAGCACTCCATAATCCACACCTATCCGCGACTGCCGCTGCCCTCCTCCGATACACCTTCCCTGTTTCCATGCATGTGCCGTGTAGGGCCTCGGCTCTTGCCTACTGCTTTTGGGCTTCTACTGCTGTCAGTTCCTACCTCCGCTGGCCCCCCTACGGAAGGAGTACCTAGGGACCCTAGCGCTCGTACAGATTGCCCACTTCACGCTGCTGCTCGGCCGAGTAGCCTTCTTCCCCGCCTCCTTCCGCACAGACAGCGTGGGCACCCTTCTAGGCGTTGTCGCTGCCGCCAGCGTCACCGTTCTGATCTTGAACGACCACCTGGCAGTCCCAGCTCGTCCATCCGCAGCTCCGCTGGAGCGCCAGCGGGCGAGGCGTGCACACATAGCTGTTACCTTGGCGACGCATACGTTATGGCTGGTGTTCACGCTGCTGTTCGTTTTGCCATACCTGTCTTCGCTAGTCCCGGTCGATGTACCCAGAGAGGGGCCGTACGGTTCGGTAGCAGCGGTTCTGGCGCCAATGACGGCCCTGGCAAGGCTGGGGGTATTTGTGTCAGGGCGGATGGCTGCGGGGCGGGTCGCCAAGCAGAAGACCGCGTGATGGGCCCTCCCCAGCCATGTAGAAGCTCACGGACGAGCAGCTCGTATCTGGGTATTCTGTTGGGCGCGGCCCCATCGTGTGCTACGTATTGACGCAACGTATGAAATGTCTCTATACCAGTGTGAATGCTTTGTGCGCATGATGCAAGAGGTGTGCCTTATGAATGTGTGGTGTTGACTAGTAAAGTGCTAGCAGCGAGAAGACTAATTGCCCAAACAGATAATTGGATCGTCGATTGTACCAACAACGAATGAACAAAGGAACGGTTTATAACCAACTCATTTGAAAATACCATATTTTGGATTCGAATTTCCAATGTTGTTCATTGCTGCCAATGCACTGGTATTCCTGGCAGATGCATCAGCACTTCTTTGTCCAGTTACACAGCGTCGGCGTACTCGTAAGTGCAACGACCAACCTTATTTTACCCCATCCGAATCTCCGCCGCTGCCTATCTTCGCTACTCCTGCCAACTCCTGCACAAGCCCTGCCTTCAGTTCACTTAGGTAATCCAAAAGTTGACAGCTGCCAGAAAGGCGCACACATTACATGAGTCACCTCGAAAAAGGTCCATGCGAAATGCAATAACCACCTCCTCACCACACACCCCTTACACCGCTCGTGCAATAGCCACAACACCGTACACAGTCTGTCACCCCGATTCCGCCTAGATGAAGTGCATTTAGGCACGCGAGGCAGCCGCCGCCTCCCGTGCAGCGGCCACGGACGCCGCGCGTGCGATGACGTGCTGAGGGGGTCGGACCTGCGACATGGCAGCCGCAGCCGTCGCTACCGTCTCCTTGAGCGCCGCCAGCTGGGTCGCGAGTTTGGACCATTGCGCCTGCCCAAAGCAAGGGTGGGTGGAGCGGGCCACCGACACGGTGCCGCGGACCGAGTCCACACGTCCCTCCAGTAGCTTGGCGCCTATAGCCCGAACGATCCAGGACTGCACCTGGTCTTCCGGCACGTCCAACGCCACGCGCAGGTCCCCAAGCGCCACCTCGCCGTGGCCCGCCCGCGCGCACGCAGCCAGCAGAGCAGTCATGCGAGCCTTGGACAACACCGCTTCAGTGGACACACCGCCAGCGGCCTCCAGGGCAGCGGATGCAGAAGCGTCGCGTGCACCTGACAACAACATGGATGGACGGGAGGTTACGGGACAACCAAATCGACGTGCAAGTTTGAAGATTATTCGCCCTAGCTTGGTAGGGACGGCACTCCTATACTTGTTGGTTTCCAACTAGGGCGTTTCAAACGGGTATTTTATTCCGGCATAAAGATGACAGCGCCGACTCTCCGGCAACATGGACTCACCCGCAACGTCCCCGGCCACTACCGTCGTCACCAGCTTGTGCAGGGGAGCGTACTTGGGGCTATCCGCGAGCGCTGCTACGGCGGGTAGTGGCAGCAGGTCCAGAGTGTACACCGAGGAGCTGATGGCGGAGAGAGTTTCAAGAAGCAGAACGGGAGAGAAGAAGCAAATTTACTCGCGTCAAGGGGGGAATGGACATGGGCCCCGGGTATGAGACGTGCCGGTAAACAGTCTGTAACAGATTGGGCCGGTTGGACTCCGTCTTTTACCCCATGCCATATTCCACAAACAATGAGTTAACCTATACATCACAAACCAGGAAAGACCTGGCCACCGCAATTGCCTCTGGATAATCTTTTGGAAGTAGCAAGGCATGAGCAATTCAGTTATCAGCCTTGGCGGGTCTATCATTCGTCTTTCATCATGCCTAAATCTAGAAAAGCCACAATTGTGGCCGCGAACTCACCTCCGCAGGTAATCTGCCAGGGCTCCTGCCGCCGCCTCCACCACCTCTGGTGCCTTGTCCGAGGTACCCGGTAGCGACAGCGCCAGACTTACCAGTGCCAGGTGCTCCCGCGTGGTGGGTCGGTCAGAGGCGCCCTGAACGTCACAGAAGTGACTATAGGTAAATACAGCGCAAATTACAGAGCACATAAGTCCGGCCCTGTGCGGCTGGTCACAGAGCTATTTGACGAGCTATGGGCCTCAGAGTAAGGATGTCAACATCGCATCCCGTGTCGAGCGGGGCGTATCAGGCAATGTAGATAAGGATAATTAGGAATAACTCATCCTTGGCCAGGTTTTCATGCGAGGAAGAAGCGCGCCATTATTTAGCTCGCGACGTAAACAATCCAATCCGCACGGCAAACCACTGCAGATCGGTAACCTTCATGGTGTATGTTTCACTCGGCACTTTGCCCAGGGAATAAATCTACATAATGTGCCAGGCACCTCCATTGAAATAATTCTAAAGCAAGCAATTTCAAGGCGGCCTTGACGCGTACCCAAAACACAGCCTTACTGTCCTCCCCTCCCCCTTACACTCAACCGAGCCCCACCCACCCTCATGGCCGCCGCCAACGCCAGATAGAGTTGCCGGGACTCGGAGGGACCCAATTGCCATTGAGCCACCCAGCGTTGTGCCTTGCCGCGAACTGATATACGGAGGTACAGGAACGGAACCAGGAAGCTTGTGAGTCACGGCGGGGTTAGGTTAGGCCACGCAAATATTTATATCGAGGCGTAACAGACGCGCTTGCCTCGAGAGAGGTCAACATAGGACAATTGTTTGGCACGCCGTTTCCTGGGAATGGTACTCACCTGCAGAGCAGAACGTGGCGCGGCACTTGGCCGAGTTGCGGGCCGCGTAGCCCGCCGTGGCGAGAAGCACCGCAAGCTGCGCCGCCGGCTGAGACGACAAGATACCGTACAAAGACAGCAAGGCCGTCAGTCGCTCCTCAGCACGCTCGTCCGACTGTCAATCCGAGGCCAGACATGAACAAATGAATTGAAGGGAAGGATGGTTAGATAAAAGATAGTGGCAAATAGCCACTATGGGAAATCAGGAAAATATCTCCGTGTTAACATGATTGGATGTACGGAGGATGAGAATAATGATATCATCAAGATCGTTCACGTGTTCGCCATGCAAATGTTTGTTTCCAATGCAATGGATGATACCAAACATGTTGGGGCCCAGTAGGATAGCCGCATGTGCCATAGCAAGGCCGGACTCAGAAGGGTATGAAGTTTCGTCAGAGCACAAAGCTCAGACAGAAATCTCGTGTGTAGAACATCCTAACATCGTCGTCCATCCATGCAGAGAGCAAGCATCACACACAACTACGGGGAAGAACCCCCCAGAAAAACCACAATACGATTGTTCAGGTAAAACGCAGTGATTGCGCTATTGGAAGCAACCCAGTACTGCAAGACGCATTTCGTGTTGTGATAGCTCTTCATGCGTCGAAACTTATGAGGACTCAGAAGGGTGCGAATTATCGTCAAAGCACGAAGCTCAGACAGAAATCTCGTGTGTAGAACATTCATACATCATCGTCCCCCGGTGCACAGTTCACCATCACAAAACACATAGTGGGTTCTAACACTCTGGTGTCCCGGTGCATACTCCCCCGTCACGTGTGAATTGTGCGAGCTGCTGTAACGACGCAAAAAGCCAATCTGAGCATCCCGGGTTGTGCCTTTGCTGTATTACAGCTGCGCGTCAAGATCTCCACGGCACTTCTAGGGCTGGCTAAAATGAGGGGGGGAGTCTTGGATCGCATGCATCCGTCCATCACGCTGTTGAATATGCCCCAGAGATTGTGGAAGTCGCCGCGTAACGAACACCGAATCGAGGCCTCACCTGGCAGAGCGCGTTCGCTAATGTCGTGGCGGCGGCCTGCTGGCCGTCGTTTGGCACCCTCCCCACGGCGTGCACGGCAATGCTTAGACAACACTCAGCTTCTGAAAGAACACAAAATGACATGGAAACAACTGTCACATGCATTTGGCTTTGATAGACGTGGACAGAGAAGGTGCAGCAGCAGACCGTACCCTCGGGTAAGCAGGGACAACATGGCTTGGCGCAATTGCTGTGATTTCTACTCACCCTTATCGGTCATTTTAGTGTATATTGTGTTGACTTGAGAAGAAATGCGGGAGACATACTCTTCGTAGCGTTGCTCCTGCGGTCACGAAGGAGACAGTGCGCAGGGCTGTCGGCTGGCTATTAGGCACTGCTGAAAAACATGCAACGCGTGACAATTGTTAACAGGCTGTCGAAAGCTGACACCAGTTTTCACTTTAAAGGCAACATACACATCCAGCCACGCAGTTTTCTTTGCATCGTTTGCTTTGTGCCGCTTAATGTGTTCCCCGTGGTGCCTAGGTATTTTTTTAGCAGAACGTGTAAATTGGATGCGTTATGCTATGCGCACGTCACCGGGAACAGGTACCTTTCGCCATTTTGCAGCGCAGGCAAAAACAGCAAAGGGGGACACGCTAGCAGCGCTATTCCTAAAGAGATAACAACCCGGTAGCAGATTGGTAACCTTATCGGTCAGTGACCCCCCAGTTACTTAGTCTTAGCCCGTTATGTCGGTTACCTTACCTGTACCAAGTTAACGCAATCGTTGAGGAATATCGTTGCTGGCGTGTCCGCTAATGCTGTCCTTGTCTGTGTCGCAAAAAAAGGGGGAGGTACGTGTCTCCGTTGACGCCAAACATAGCATAACGCATTCAATTTACATGTTCTGCCAGAAAAATATCTAGGCACCAAGGGCAACACATTAAGCGCATAAAGCAAACGATCTGCCACTGCGTTCAAAGATCAAGCTAGCTTTGGCGGCGGACGCACGGCCAGCGCATCCTCCAAAAACATTAAACATCATCAGAGGTAGATTGATATTTACGTGATGAAGAACTGGTAACATTCCCACTATTGCGCCACATAACGGAAGCGGTGCAAAAGCCGATTTCTGGTAAACTCACCTGGCCTTCATTCAACAGCTCTGCCAAATGGTGTGCAACGCTGACAAAGCTATCCTCATCCGAGGTTTCTACAAGTTGGAGTGGCATTTTAGTGCACACCCAGGATAAGAGCGGCCCGCAAGGGCGATATTGCTCTATATTGAATTGGGACGAGGTCTATTATTCGAAGGATTGTCCTGGCGGGGTTAAACTGTGGGAAAACAGACGATCTAATATGCGCTTGATCCTAGGCGCCGCCGTGTGAGGACGCCGTAATAAGGACCACAACAAGCGGGACAGATGCAGGAGAAATGACTAAACAAAAGTAAGACAGAAAGTATGTAGAAGATGAAGTAAAGAACTCAAGTAAAGTGAAGGGCGTCACGGTTGGTGGAGCGGTTGGACGGGAGGCCCACATGACAGCGTGCTTGGGCACCGTCGCCACAACCCGGTGCCCTCGTTTCCGGTGAACGTCTGACTTCGTAGTGTGAAGCGCATTACAGCATTGCGCATACGGGGCCTCGTACAGCTTTTGTCACTCAGCTGTTGCCGCTTGATTTTTTTGTGATCAAACAAGAATAATAAGGGGTTCACATGTGCAGATTTCATTTAAGCTAGGTGGGACCTGTCCTTTGTATTCAGACCGACACCTCCCTGTTGACTAGTGTTTCCGCTTCATATAACCTGGGAACATGGCACATGGCTTTAGCTTATCATAATTTTGGCGTGCTCACCTTGTGCGAAGTCATTTGAAACCATTCAGAGGTGAGGTTTCGTTGAACACCGAATGTCCATTCAAACCACCGTTATTCCATGCCCCAAAGCCTTCTAATCGCTTACTCCATATCCTTTGAAGTGATCACCCTGTACTGCATGAATATAACTTCACACTTCTTACTTCCCCCGGTGTACCCTTGCGCAGGCGCCCCTTTCTTGCAACACCCTGCACCGGGCGGCACCGGGCTCGATGGCCAGCCCCCGCCTGCCGCTCCTACTTTCCCTCCTGCTCATATCCCCATCATGGCGGCCTGTGGCCTGGCTACTGCGCAGCACCTCCCTTTTGCCTAGCGAGCTTCCGTCCGGCAGCTTCGCCAGCAGCATCAGCACGGGCAGCAGCATTTCCAGGGGCGCACGGACCACTTCTGTCGGTCTACATCTTGCTTCGGCCACGCCGCGTACTTACAGGATTGAGCACCCCGCCATGCGGGGCTGGGAAGAACCCTCGTTGCCCTCCTGGGACGATGTCATCAAAGGGGAAAAGCGAAAGGTAGTGTGCGTGTCGGGGGTCCCACCACTGTACAAAGGGAAAGATCACAAGGGATGGCCTTGCGGGGGGCGTGTGATGGGGGTAAGAAGCTATTGCTTACAGTTGTACACGTGCATGCAGAAGTCTACGTCCCTCATGCCGCTCCCCTCCCATGCCCCCCAGATGTACAACCCCGGGGGGAGCAGCATAGCCCGCAACGGCACCGTGTTGGCGGGTCACGTGGGGGGACTGTATGACCATATCATGGTGGATCACCTGAAATCAGGTACGGCATAGTACGGCAGCATGCAAGGATAAAGTACGGAACGCAACGAGAAGCACCAGAGATTTGCATAAAACCCGACGCAAATAAACCGCGCTGTAACGATTGGCGAAAAGAAGCAAAACGAGAACCCCGGCGTTACCCGGCTGTGGTGTAATCCTGGGGGAGGGAGGGAGGACGGCGGATCATTAATGCAGGAGGCATAAAACCCTGCTGCTGCCGACATGTCAAGTACGAGGTGCTGCGTGGATGGGAAGGAGCTGGGCGTGCGGTAGACGTGTCGATGCATGGCATTGCTGTTTGGAGCTTGGATGGTTGAGGGTTTGAAGGCGCATAGGAAGGGAGGGGAGGGCGCGCCACGTAGACCGACCAGCAGCAAGAAAAGCAAGTTGACCACCTGACACCGTGGTGGTCATCAACGCAACAGGAGCCCCCTTGTAGCAGAGAGGGAGCGGGGCGAAGGCGGATGAAAGCCCTTTGGAGCCGTCTTAAGCTCATAACAGCTCGGCCCTGCACCCGGCCCCGCTCCCCCGCTTCTTTCCCTCCTCCTTTTCTCCTCTTGCTTTGTTCAGTGTGTGACAGCGGCGCCGGTGGAGGTGGAGGCAAGCCCTGCAAGCGCAAGGTGTGCGCCCTTGCTCGGGGGGAGTGGTGCAAGGAGTACTACAACCAGGTGCGGGTGGGCGGGAGGGCGACCTGGCTCCCTAGGGGGTCTTAGAGGGGGCCAACATAGAGAAGGGGGGCCGGAGGGATCTGAAGGCCACAGGGGGCTTAAAGGGACACAAGCGCAAGAGCCTTGTACCCTGGCGGGCCTTGTATCCGTTTCATAGCCTTCTCGTGGGTGGACGGATGTAGCCTGTTTGGGCCCGCTCCTGCCTCTTCTTTGCCTGCTGGCCCCGGTTCCCGGCCTCTCTGGTCCTGTGGTGGATTCCTCCCTTTCTGTAACCGGAGACGGAACCTGTCACCCGAGGGAAAGGAAAGGAGTGGCACCCCACCGGAGCAGAGGCCGGGGTGAAGCCCCGGGGGGGACTGGAAGAACGGAAGGTGCATCACCTTTACCACACCCAGCACGGACCGGTAGTTGGACTCCCTTGGGAGCGCGTGCCGGGGTTTGGGTTGTCCCGACCGGACATCCCAAAGGGGAAGTTGCATAGTGGGTTGAGAGGTTGAGATGTGAGTGGAACTAGGTTAGGACAATGTGGGTGAGTGAACGGGCAGGTGGCTGCGGGGGGGGGGATAGGCTGGGCTTGGTGGGCAACAGGCGTCCCAAAGAGGCAACTGCCCGGGTTTGGGAGGGAAGGGAGGGAGGGTGGGGGCGGGAGGGAGGGTAAGAAGGATAAAAGGATTGTCGACCAGGACTGGACCGAAAGGGGAGCCGTGGGGTAAGAAGATGTGGGGGGGAGGGGCGTTGGTGCATCGTAGAGGCTGGGGGGCTGGGGTCCGCGGTGTGTGTTAAGGGACTGTGCGTGTGTGTGTGTGGATGGAGGGTGTGTGTGAAAGCGAGGTCCATTGGCTTCTTGCGGTTCCTCATGTCCGTGCAGGGTCCCATACCCTGGCGTCCACCTCCCCGGGGCGATAAGGACTGCCCCGCCACCAAGTACGGCGCCTGCAACGGAGTGGGTAGCTGCCAGTACGACTTAGGTGTCTGCTTATGTCCCGCGGGTAAGAGGAACATGTGGCGCAGTTGGTTGGTTGGTTGCTTGGTTGGTTGGGGAGTAAGTTAAGTGTGCAAATTCGCCCTTGACAACCCCATTTATCCTCCCCCCCAAAACACACGGACAGTTTACTAGGACAATTTTGTGCTTAGGACGTTGTCGGCTTTTAACTCTTTGCTGCTTCTTGCGTCGCCACATTATGGTTTCCTCCCCGCTCCCTCCCCACTCCCTGCCCTCCACGTGCAGGCTGGAAGGGCCCCGATTGCGGCCTCCGAGACCCCCGGCCTTGCACCCACCGCTACCGCCAACAGCCTTTGGACGGAAACAACACCACACCTATCGTGAGTACGGCAGTGGACAAGAGGGAGGAAGCAGGGGCTGAAGCCCGGCTGGAGGGGTTGGTTCAGAGGGGAGGGTTCATCTGGTGCTATTACATCAGGGTACAGCACGGAGCGGTGTCCGGTATCCATGTCCATGTTCTTAACCCGCCTCGTGCGGTCGGGTCCTGGTACCCCCCCCTCCCCCGCCCGCCCGCCCTGCTTCCCGCTCCCTTCCCCACCCGCCACCTCCCTCCCTCCCAGCCCGCCTCGTTCCCCTTCCGTTCCTTCACTATGGACCCCTGCTCGGCAGTTTTGGTACTTTAGTAGGACGTCAGTCGGCATCTGACGATGGCATCATGACAGGATCGAATGAGAGCCCCTCACAGCTGCCAGCCCAGATGACCCCGGCGGCGTCCCGTGCGGTCCATATATACGGGGGTATATGTATCCGGTACTTCCTTCCCTTCCCTTCCCTGCTGGCCCCTCGTCTGCACGTCCCGCCTCTTATTTGTCTTTACTTTTATCTTCTTTTCCGGCGCCATCTGAACCCGATATCACCATTGTTTTCCTCGCATCCGGATCTCCCCTCTCCCCCCCTTCCCCTCACACACATACACACACACGCGGGACACCTACACAGAGTCATTCCGGTCCTGATGGTCGGGATTTGAACTGGCTGGAGGAGGGCTGGACGGCATCTAGATGTGCGGGTGAGGACTCGGGGGGGGGTAAATGAAGGGGGGGGGAAAGACGAACCAGCCACTGGCGAATGGAGCGCTTCAAAATACCAAAGATAGACGGGGGTAGTCCAGGAGAGGTTATAAATGTTGCATCAGGAAATGCTGCAGGAGTGAAAAGGGGGGGGGGAAAGGGTGGAAGTTGAAGCACGCTGAGGCGGCGTGGGGAGCTGGAAAGGCGGCCATGGGTTTTGGGGGTGGACTCACCCACCGGCGGACTCACCGCAAAATGTTGCACTTTTCCCCAGAGTTACGAAGTCCTGAGCCGTCCAGAGTCGTCCAGAGCAACAGAGCAACAATACTGTGCGATATGGAAACAGGCATATGTATGATATAGCCGGCAGCCCCGGACCTCCAGCTTTGTCCCAACCAGCAGTACCCACACCGTCCCTTCTTCCTACTACCTCCTCTTAACTATTTCCCCCTGAGCCCCCTCATCCCGTGTGTCTTTCCCCTCGGCCCTCCCTCCCCTCCCCCTGCGTCTCCATCATCCAGGCTACTGCGATGAGGACCTGGCCATGTGCTACTGCCCCCCGGGTACCAAGTACGGCAGAACCCTCGCACCCCCCGACGCCCCGCCGGGCACCCCGCCGCTGCAGGCCGGTCGACCCATGGGCGACTCGTGCAAACCCGGCAGGGTAGGCGTGCCTTCCAGAACCGAACCCGACACGATATACATACGTGCATACAGACATACAGACACACAAGCTACTCGCGCACCGTCCCTTTCCCAACTCTCCCCCCGCGGCTCGTAAAACGTATCTACACAATCCTTTATGCTGGAAGCACAGTGCTGTACCACACGGGGCACACCAGGACGCAGGTTGCATCAAACGCAAGGTGGTGCATGGCGTGTATCAGTATGTGTGCATGTGTGTATGTAGGTATGTAGGTACATGTAGGTGTTACATGGTCGAGGGGTGCGCAAACCCGATAAAAGCCCCTCACCAGTACCGAATGGTCTCTTGCCGGCCCCTTCCCCCCTCGTTAACTGCGCTGACAATCGTCTCCATGACACCTGCACATCTTACCCCTCCACTCTTAACACATACAACACATACGTACACATACACACGCGTACTTCTACACACACACACGACCCTCGCCGTTTTCTTCTCATTTGCTACCCAGATCATTTAAAAGCACAGGACCCCGCGGTCATGGCCGTGTCCCCCACCGCCCTCAGGACCCCGCCACCGGCAAGAGGTTGGACTGGGGCCGTCTGGAGCCCGACGACCTGTTCGGACCCGACGGATGGTGTAACTCGGAAAACCCTCGTACCCAGTGAGAGATGCGTGAGGGGGCGGAGGGCAGGGGGCAGGGCAAGGGGGGGGGACCGTGTGCGAGAAACTCAGAAATGATGAGCTGCCGGCGTCCGAGGTTAGCGCGAAACACCCCCTGTCTCCCTGATACGGCCTGGAAGACTCGGCAAGGAAATGACCACCGGCATCCAATAAGGATTAACATTGCGGAGGGAGGGAGGGAGGGAGGGAAGGAGGGAGGAGGCGAGGGAAGGAGGAGGGGAAAGGGGAAGGGGAAGGGACGACCATATCCCCGCCACCACCACCACCACCCCCCGCTGTGTCCTTAACCGCCGCAGCTGGCTCACACACCCACACGGTGGTCTTCCCGTCTGCCACCCACTTGTATACCACCCACTTGTATACCACCCACTTGTATACCACCCACTTGTATACCACCCACTTGTATACCACCCACTTGTATACCACCCACTTGTATACCATACCACCCACTTGTCTGTCTGCACACCGCTGACCGGGGGCCCCCGCCTTGTGGTTCGCCCGTCAGTACCCTCACGGGGCTCTGCTTCCCTAACCATGTTTCCCTTCCTCCCCCTCCTCCCACCCACCCCAATTCTACACCCCGCGACAGCTGTTTTTCTCAATATTGCAATTGTTGTAATTTCCCTCTTCCCTTTCCCTCCCCCCCCCCTCTACGCTCATACTGTGTTGTGGTACTGGTTGCAGCTGCGGGTGCCTTCTGGACGGTTCTCAGGGCCACTTTTGCGACACCCCCACTGAGGCGTTTTGTTTCAACCAGGTGGGGACGGGGTGGGGGGGGAAGGGCAAGAGTCAGGCCATGGGGGTGGGCGGCAAGTCGTCACGTGTACACGCGCGCAGAGGTTGGGGGGAGGGAGCTGATGGGATTGCTGCTAGGGGTGCAGTGTCCCGGTTGGTCGACGCATGGTGGGTTTCTAATGGGCCCTATACCCCGGGCTGTCCCCTCCTTCGTTTCCCCGGCATCGCTCTTCCCCTTTTGTTGCGGTGATGCCGGGGACGGTGGATGCCGTGGATTTCGGTGTATGATGCAGGCTTGCTCCCCCCTTCGCTCTTAGTCTGCCATCTTCAGTGTCCCTCCCGCCACTCCGCCACCCCACCCCAGCCCGCCCCCTCGTGTGCTACTGGATGATCGACATTTGCTTCTTTACCCTTTGCACCGCAAAGGGTTTCCCCTCCCCCCCTTTCCCCCCTTCTTTCCTTGGCAGCACTTCCTGCCTTTCACTCGTTCGCGGTTCGTCTTTCCCCACCTTGGCCCCATCCTGTTTGGCTTCCATTGTCCCGGCTCTTCGCGGGCCGCCCGCGGGTCCCCACCACCACGTCTCGTCTCCAACACCCCCGGCGCCACGGCCCCTTACCCCCCCCCCAGTGCTCCGGACACGGCGAGTGCAAGTTAGGGTTTTGTAAGTGCCATGAGGGCTGGTACGGCATGGACTGCTCCCGACTACGAGCCTCCGCCAAGGAGGTGACGAAAGGTGTGGGGGAGTAGGGGAGGTTAGGGGGGTGGGTGCCACTTTTTAACGTGGCAGGGGGCTTGCAAGGAACACAGTTCCCACCTCTGTCTGGCTCTCCCTCCCGCACCCCTAGGTCCATACATGTCCCTTTCGCGCTCTCTTGCCTCCCCCTCCTCGCCATCCCCCTCCTCACCATCCCCCTCCTCACCCTTGGGTCCAGGCGACCACGAGGGCGGCAGCAAGTCCTACCTGCAAGGAATTGTGGTGAACCCACCCGCGGCTCAGGTCCGTATACATGCATGTGTATGTGTGCATGTGTATGTGTACGTACGTTAGAGAGGGAACATCCGCCAGCGCCTCAAAACCACAGAGTACCGCGCGCGCGCGTATGTGTGTGTAATGATCTTCGGGGCCGCTCAATATGGGGAGGGGGAAATGCCCAACATGGCGGTACATGGGGATGGCGTCATACCTTAGCGAGCCCCCGCGACTAAAAGTGTCACCAGCGACATGTTTCGGACTCTCCAAGGAAGCTGTGCATGACGGGCGGGGCTGCTGGAATGCAAGTTGTATCATAGATGTCAAGAGCACGTAGAAATACGCCGAGGAGGCGCAGTAGTGGCGAAGAGCGAATAGGTGGTGGGCGGCTAGCTAGGACTGATTGCACACAGCGAGACTGAAGGGATGCTTCCTGGCTTCCGCACATCTTCCCCCGCACGGCGCTACCTCCCCTTTCGCGCACATTGAACTACCGCCGTCTGATGACCACCACCACCACCACCACCACCGAACCATCACTACCACCACTTAACAGCCACCATGAATGGCCACCCCATAGCAGGAATGACGAAACACCACCAACAGAAGTACGGCTGCCGCCGCCGCCGGCCCCCCCTCTTGCAGCAGCTTCACTCGTGTGTGGTTCGCCTTCCCCCCCCCCGCTGCTGCTGCTGCTGCAGGATCCGCCGCCGGTCCCGACTCGTCGCCGGCCACTGATCTACGTGTACGACACAGATCCCATATTCAATACCAAGATGATTCAGTACCGCCTTGCTCGGTGAGTGAGAGTGGGTGTGTCGGCGTTTCATCTCCTTCTACCCACCTACATTTTCGCCGTATTCCGTACACACACACACACACACACACACTCCGGGAGCGACCGGTCGTAACCCCCACCCCCCTCGGCTCTCGGGGTACACCTCCACCTCCCCCCCCCAGCCCCCTCCCCCCCCCCCGCGCCCCCCCCAGCCGCCACGAAACCGCCAGTCCAACCCTAACCACCGCAGCCCCTTAACGCACAGTGGAACACGGAATCCACACTAACATACCTCGTACAAAACCTACCTGGTAGTCGCCTGCCTATCATCATCATCATCATCATCATTACTGGGGTGCCCCCCCGCCACCTGCTCACTGGACCGCTGAGATCCCTCGTCCGCCCACTCACCCACTCGCAGCACCTCGTGTGTGTACCGGCTGTTCGGGGCCGGCAATGACACCTTCTACAACAACTTTGTGTACACCCTCGAGAGCTACTGGATTGAGATGCTCACCATTAGCCAACACAGGTAACTATTTTAAGTTCGGTTTTTTGCGTTTTTTGATGGTCTGTATGTATATATGTGCATGTGTGCCGCGACTAACCAGCCTGCGTGTGTATGCTGGTGTTTGGGGTCGTGCGTGGAGAAGGGAGGGAAGGAAAAGGGGGAGCGAAAAGAGGGAGGGAAGGAAAGCAAAGGAAATCGTGGGCCAGATCCATCGAGGATGACCTCCCCCCCCTCCTGAGTTTGGTTAGGGAGAGGGGCCGAGGACGGGGGGGAGTCCTCGGGGCTAGGCGGCTTTCCGAAGTAGCTTCTTTGCTGCCGTGCATAATCTACAAATGCAATCACATGCAGGACTGTGTGGATTTTCCTCCCTCCTTCCCCTCCCTCTACCCCACCCCTACCCCCTACTACCCCCATCGCCACTCCCTCCTCTTGTACCTGCTTCAGTCGTGAGTGGCTCGCCTGACCCCCCTTCGTCACCCTCACCCCCCAAATCCCTGAACTCATACCCTGCTTCAGGACGTTCGACCCCGAGGAGGCGGATTTCTTCTTTGTTCCCGTACAGTTGACGTGTTACTTGTGGCCGGTGCTGGGCTGGGCGGACCACCCGTGGTTCGGGATGCCGGCGGGTGGGTGCGGGGCCGGGGGTGGGGGTGATGTGGTGGTCTTTATGAGGCTCTGTGGTGTGTAGAAGTAAGATGTGGGGGGAGGGGAGGGAGGGAGGGAGGGGTCCTACCAGGGGAGGGAGGAAGATGCAAGGCGGGAGGGAAGCTGGTTTCATACAACGGTCGTACCGCCGTACTGCCGTACCTCCCTGGATCCCAAACTCATGCGAAGGCTACAATACGTTGATAATGGCTTTTCGTAATGCCTCCCCTTTTGGTAAAAACACATCAATTACCGCACCGATTCCTATTTTATCACATTATTCCACCGACTACGACTCAAACCCCCCTGTGCCGGTGTGGTTTGTGGTTCCTACCGGGTGGGTGGGGCCTCCGCTCGCCCCTCACTTCCCACCACCGCCGGCCCTTCCCGCCACCCTCCTTACATGTTTGTTTGTACATTCCTCCTCACCTCCCCTCCCCACCTCCCCTCCCCTACTACTTCACAATCCTCTCCCCCACCTCCCCTCCCCACCTGCCCTCCCCCCCCCACCTCCCCTCCCACCCTCCCCACCTGCCCACCCCTCACCTCCCCTCCCCACCTCCCCTCCCCTACTACTTCACAATCCTCTCCCCCACCTCCCCTCCCCACCTGCCCTCCCCCCCCCACCTCCCCTCCCACCCTCCCCACCTGCCCACCCCTCACCTCCCCTCCCCACCTCCCCTCCCCTACTACTTCACAATCCTCTCCCCCACCTCCCCTCCCCACCTGCCCTCCCCCCCCCACCTCCCCTCCCACCCTCCCCACCTGCCCACCCCCCACCTCCCCAGCCCACTCCCGGGCCCACCAGGGCGCCAGCATGTATCTGTCAGCTAAGCGCTGGATCCAGCAGCACTACCCGTACTGGGACCGGAGGGGCGGCAGGGACCACATCTGGATGATGCTGAATGACGAGGGGGCGTGCTGGATGCCCACAGGCGAGTGGTGCAGGGGGTGCAGGGGGCGGTGAGGGCGGAGCGGAGTAGGGAAAAAACCGTATGAAACCGTAAGGCTTGCGACACGACCCGGACTGCGCTTACGAAGGGAACGAACCATCCAAGGGGTGCGGTCGGGTCGGGTGGGGCGGGAGTGGAGCAGGAGGAGGGTAGGGGCGTGTGAGGCAGGGGGTGGCGGACGGGAACAAAACCCACACGCATCCCGTCTCGAGCGTTCTTCAACACTTCCATGCCGATCTCTTCCGCTCCCCTTCCCTTTCACTCGCTCGTGAACAACCCGCGCTGCTGCTGCGTATCCTTTCTTGCTGCCCTGTACTTTGCCGTACTGTACGGCAGAGGTGTACAACACATCGATAATTTTGTCCCACTGGGGCCGCATGGACGAGGCTCACGTGAGCGGTACGGCTTGGGGGTACGACAACTACACCTCGCCTCTGGAGTCCTGGCCGCCGTACTTTGACGGTGACTGGCGTACCATCATAGAAGGCCACCCATGCTACACACCCGGCAAGGTACGACACCTCACATTCCGTACTGCCTGCGTTATTCGTACTCCAAAACCACCTTACCCAGTTCACTCGTTGTCCTACGTGTCTGTTGTCCCTCCAGATGCCTTTCTAAGAAGCAGCAGCTAGCTCTGCCTTGAGACGGCCACACACACACACACCGCCTTTACCTTGAATGTCCGGATGACCGCTGAAGCTTCGGCAGAGGGACACGACCTTCTTATATTTATACTATTAATTCAAAAATCCAAAAAAATCCGAATCGTCGGTGCTCTATAAAAATAGAGTCAAGTGACTTAGCTTCATGTCTTGGCCACCGCTTGTAGCTGATTTGCTCTCCTTTTGCTTACCCACACCCACCCGCAAAAACCCGTACCCCCGCAAAAAACCCTGAAAACACACATCCCCTCGGGTCCCCTAAGCAGGTTGACCTTATGCTGCTCACATGCATCCCCCCCTCACCCCCTATCAGGACCTGATCATCCCCTCCCTGAAGCACCCCGACCACTTCCAGAGCTCCCCCCTGCTGGGTGCTCCCCCCCTGGAGCGAGATATACTGCTGTACCTGCGGGGGGATATGGGGCCATGGAGGGCGCACTGGTACAGCAGGGGAGTACGGCAGCGACTGGCAAAGTGAGTGTACGGCAGTGCGGGCGCTATGTGGGGGTTAGGGTGTGTGGCGGTGGGATGGGCGCGGGGAGGGAATGAGGGAGTGAGGTGCGCTTGTCTGGGAGTGCGTCTGTATGTCTGTTGGATTTGTCCGCGTGTGGGACTGATGCGTGCGATGGTACGGAGGGAGCATGGGAAAGGGGAGGGGGAGCCCTTGAAGCAACGTAACCGGGAGGTACGAGCAGCCCTCCCCCTCCCCCTCCCTCCCCCTCCCCCTCCCTCCCCCTCCCCCTTTCGGACGCCTTTCGGTCAGTTCTACGTCTGGTACACTCTTGCCCTGGCAGCAGCTTCACTCGTTTGTGGTTCGTCTTTCCCCCTCCCCCTCTCCCCCTTGTGTACTTCCAGGCTGGCCCACAAGCACGACTGGGGCACCCGGTACCGCATATTCATCGGGGAGGGCTGGCAGGTGCGTCCGGGACCCCCTTCCACGACGGTGGAAGCTAGGCTGCTGTTTCCTTGACTGAGGGCAACATAATCCCCGCTCCGCCTCCTGCTACATCCCAGCTACCGCCCTGCTATACCCCTGCTATACCCCCAGTGCGGAGGGACCCCGGGAGGCCGCTGTGTAGGGTAGTGGGAGGGGAAGCCGGGTTGAGGAATGTCGTACATGCAACTACGACTCCCCTGACAGGTGGCTCATTGAGCTGTTTGAGCTGTTTGGGGGGAGTGGTCCGGAGGGGGTTCGCAATCCAGGGCCAGGGGCAGGCCTTGGCCTTGACGCGAGCACTTGGGGGCATTCCTGAGCTCATCTGCTTCAAGGTAAGGCCCAATACGAATCACTGGGACGCCTCTCCTCTAGAAGAGCACCCTTCTCGTTCTCCTGGACAAGCTCGCCCTCCTGGCTCGTCTAGCTGTCACCCCAACCCACCTCTCCCCAACCCACCACCTCCCCCCAACCCACATCGTTAGATCTCCGGGAGCTACTCGGAGCACCTGGCCAGGTCCAAGTTCTGTGTGGTGGCGCCAGGTGGGAGTGAAGAGGAGGGGGGGTGGGGGAGGAGGGAGGGGGTGCAGCAGTGGGGCGGGGTGGTGGTGCGGGTTTGGAGGACAGGAGGCCGAGACTCGGAGCTTGGCGGTGGTGGTGGGCGGGAAGGGGGTGGGCGGCTACGTAAGAGCTAAGAGCAGCGGGTACTCTGAGGGGTCCATCCGGCGGAGGGCCCTCCTTCCTCAGGGTGACAGCCGTGTGGTAAGGGGTCGGAGGTAGAGGGGTCGGAGGTAGATGGGATGGGTTGGGTG